CCCCCCCCCCTTTTGAGGGTTCGGGGCTGGCAGGGCAGGTTTCTTCCCCTGCGCTCGGTCGGGTCGTCTTGGAGTGGGTGCACTTGGGCGTGGTCGAAACGACGATGTCCCTCAGATGAGTTTCCCGTCTGTTTTCGGTCCCAAAACGGGATTACGTGGACCTGCGGTTCATTCTGGACTTGTCCCGTCTGAACCCCTGGGTTCATTGCCTGGACCTTCGGGACGCTTATTGGCATGTCCCGATTCATCCGACGTTCCAGGACTGGCTTGGTTTTATTGTGAGGTGTCTATGTTACTGCTTTCCTTGTTTCCCATTCGGGTTGAACCTGGCACCTTGTCTGTTCACACGCCTAACGCGGGTCGTGGTGTCCTGTTTGCATCTCTTAGGTGTTCGGGTGTTGGCCTACCTCGACGACTGGCTGGTTTGGGCTCCCAGCCGGTCGGCTTGCTTGCTAGCCAGGGATTTGGTTCTTTCCCAGCTCGCCGGGTTCGGGGAATTCTTGGTGAACTGGAGGAAGTCCCATCTGGTTCCCTCTTAGGTTCGGACTTGGCTGGGTCTCGTTGGGATTCTCGGACCGCTTCGTTGTCTCTCCTGTGGCTGCGGTCCCACCTTTGTCTGTTTCTGGTGGGCCCTCGGGTCACCCAGGGGTTGCTTGAGGGGCTGAGCGGGAGCCTAAATTTCGCGATGTTAGTCTACCCGCTGGGTTGGGTTGGCTTCATCGGCAGTTCTGGTTCCTTCGGGGTTGTCCCTTTCCCCCTCTCTCACGATCGCTGGGTCTTCAAGGCCCCCAGGGGCCTTGTGTTGGCTGCTGCATCGCCGGCTTCCTCCTTGGGTTTTTCAGGGTTCAGTGCCTTGGCGCCTACCCGAGCCCTCGCTATTTGTGTTCACGGACGCTTCGTCTCTCGGCTGGGGTTTTGTGACCAGTGCTCACCAGACCGGCCAGGGGCGTTGGGGTCCGTCCTTCCGTCGAGCCCACAGCACAGTGCAGGAGTTCGCGGCGGTGTGGTCTGCTCTTCGGAGGATTCGGGTCGCCCGAAGATCAACGATTCGGCTCCATTCGGACTGCTCTCCGGTGATTCATTGCCTAAACTGCGGAGGTTCGATGTAGTCCTTGGCTCTTTGAGGTTGGTCGCTTCGGGTGAATCGTCTGCTGAGTTCTCAGGGTTTGGCTCTCCTGGCGGTTCACATGCGGGGAGTGTCCAATGTCTCGGCCGATAGCCTGTCTCGCTTCATTCCCCTCTCCACTGAGTGGATGGTCGACGACGCTTCCTTCTGTTGGCTTTGCCAGACGTTTGGCGCCCCGAGGTGGACCTCTTCGCGTCGGCATGGCCGAGGCGCCTTCCCGTGTATGCCTTATCATCTCAACTTGTTCTTCACTTGTCTACGACGCCATTGTGTTGAAACTAGGAATAGACAGATATCGGATGACTGTCAGACACCTCTAATGATCGGCTCGACAGCCTAGTCATTGCTATCACATTTGTTATAATTGTAGTTCATTACTAACCCTATAACAAATTATTTATTCATAAATGTTAATGTTGAAGAATTCACTATAATTGAACATAAGGTAGATTTACCATTATTAAGTCTTCCCCAAATACTTTTTGGAGAAGTGGAAATACCTGACAAATAACCAAAATTAATACAGTCTACTCATACAGTCCATTTATCATCTATTAATACTAAGAAATACTTTTTAGGAAATTCCCCACAGGAGGGTTGTGCAGACAGATGCACGGCGGTTGTGGTGGCATCATGCCTGTTTCCTTGTTTTTGATTGGGAAGTTCTGCTTGTCAGTTCGGCTTTCAGTTTGCAATTTTTGTAGATGGTAGTCTACAAAAAAGTCCTAGTAGATGGCACACATAGACTGCTTCCAATTACACAGGGGTGTCTATAGGCCATTGCTCCTCGTGCCTCTTCTTGAGGGGGAAGGCCAGGTTCTGGGGCCGGATTCAGGAAGGTACTTATGAAGGTTTTTCCTCTTAGCTACGAATATTTTCCTTCTTAGCGCCTTCGTGGCGGCTACGGCGGTATTCAGGTAGCTACACTAAGTGGAAAAAACCTTCATAAGTTCATTCCAGGATCTAAGTGTGGTTTTGACCAATCGTAGCTTTACGTAAACTGGATATAACTCAATTTTTCTCTACTACATAACACTGGGGATAGATTTTAAGATTTTGGAACATAAACAAAAGATTATAATAATTGAATCTAGTGAAGAGGAGTCCTTCGTGTTAGTTATATATGCATTCTCTGCTTGAAACTTAAAGTAAATATGTCTTTTATGATAGTAGAATTAGTTTTATAATAGCAAGATATTATACCCGTAGTTATTAAGTAAATAAACACTGAACATGAAATATGAGAGAAGGTAATGAGCCCTGCCTGATGGGATCATTTACTGTCACCAAATTCCCCTGTTCACCTAGTAGTAAGGGTGTACCTTAGCTATACATACCCATTTCTAATTTATTTAGTTTGGTTTTATTTTGAAATTAAATCTGGGTGAGACACCTAGACATAAAATAAAAATATGCTGCACAAATGATGTTAGGTAAGGAGAAGGGTAAAAATGTCAAAAACTTTATTCATTGAATACTTAAAGCTATAATTATGACTATATAGACTATTAAAAAAGAGAGAGGGAAGTAGGGGTCCAAGACCTCTTCCTGTTATACAATTTGGGTGTGGAACATTATCAAAAGAAGGCACCATGCCGGGAAGGCTATGTAGCAGTAAGGCAGTGAGGTGAGGCAGCTACTTATTTGAGAAATGCTCATTTTATTTACCTTAAGCTGAGGCAACTTATTTTATTTGAGGAATACTCAGCTGATTCCTCTACATTTAGCATGGAACAAATTTGTGTCCAAGACCTCTTCCTGTTACACAATTTGGCTGTGTGTAACCAAACTAGAAGTGCTCTACAAATCAAGGGACCCAGAATGTGGAATGACCTCCCGAATCATGTCAAAGGCTGTACCTCTCTCAACCAGTTTAAGAGTTAAATCAAGTACTGCCTAATTAACTCCATGTAACCTAACTTACCTCCTAAATGTCAACCCATGTCTTGCTATTTTTTAAACAATGCTGTTCACCAACATGTGCAATTCCTGATTTATGCTATGTTAACCCCCCTTTTTGTATTTTTTTATTCCTTCTTTCAACACAATTTATACCTAATCCCAATTACTATTAAGTTTTAGTCTGTGTTTTTTCCCCCACACCTTGCCCGAAATGCTATGAGTATTAGTGGCTTTAGGTATTGTATGTACTAGATCTGTCTGTAAATCCAACATTATGTTTGTAAATCAACTGTATGTACTTTTCCTGAATAAAATGTATTTATTATTTATTTTTTAATCAGTAAGTATTAAAAGAAGGCACCAAGCTGGGAAGGCTATGTAGCACCATTGTGTGTAACAATAAATCAAATTTTTTTTTAACAAATAATGCACCTGTATGGTAAAACAAATCCTGTCAGCTGTAAAAATATTGATGGTTATTTAAATGAAAAATATAATGAAAGAAATATTACTGGTTTATTTTTATCCTATCTTTTTGTACTGTACAGTATATCCAAGGAAGTGAAAAATTGAGACAATGCACAATTTAATGAATGATTAGCATGGATTAGCAGTTCAAAAGAAATATGACTATTACATATCAACATGAGATCTTAATGATCCATGGTCAGCATGATTTAATAAGGATAATACAGTACTGTATTTGTAATAATACAAACTATAATTTAAAATCTTTATTACTGATTTTTTTATTAAGAAGATTAGGTATACACAGCAATGTGCTGCTACCCTATTATATATGGAATATTACACAGTGTAGATAAAAAACTAGCTATAAGTTTATCTAATACTCCCATCTCACAGGATGGTTAGACATACTGTACATGGAATCAATTTAGAAAATACCAGCCTCAATACAAAAAACAAATCAACTCTGACTAAACAACTCTTCACGATTTTCACAAGAGGTAAGCACTGAATCATGGGAACATTATATTATAATTACTCTTACCAGTTTCCACAAGACTCCTCTCAAACAATGTATTTTTAAACATGTTTAGGTATACACAGCAATGTGCTGCTTCCCTATTCTGTATAAAGGACCACACAGTGTAGATAAAAAACTAGCTACAAGCTCATCCAACATCCTCACCTCACAGGATGGCCAGTCATACATGGAATTAGGAGAGAACAAAATACTTAATGCTGATCTATTAGCCTCCCCTGGCAAAATCTGGGTGCAGCACAAGAATATCTTCCAATATTCCTGAGTGTATGAAGTAATTACAGAGTTCAAAATACCTCATACCATTTGGTATGAAGTCACTGATAACAGGGCAATCACAGGTATAGTGTTGGAGAGTATGTTCTCTCAAGTAGGACTGAAAACAGATGTTTTTTTCCACCAAGAGGGCTATAAACCCATGGAACCGCCTACCCGCTAAAGCCGTAAATGCCAAATTCCAGCTAAAAAATATCATTAAGACAATTGGCGGGCCCTTTAACAAGCCGCCGGCTTTCTGTCCTCTTCGAGGCCACTAGATAGTTAGTGGCCCTTGGGTAAATTCAGTAAATATATACAATAATTGTCAGCACATCTTCCGAGCAACAAGGACAGCAACACAGTATCTCTTAGAATTACGTAGGTAAACAACAAATGTAACATATTTGTTTACTACAATGTCGGTGCTGGCTGTAGAAGTTGAAAAAAAAACATTGTTTTACTTCGAAATATACTAATTTTATAAGAAAATTTGACGTAAATAGGAGGCAGTAGAGCTTCGATAAGCCAGCGCTAAATCTTCAATATGAAGAATGTTGCTGCTCTCTGATTGGCCAAACGAAACACAGCAGTGACCTCTATTGGCACGCAGGTGAACCAACAAATTCCTTCCTAAGTGGACGTTATTGAATTGCACCTAAGCATCTTCTTAGGGCACACTTAGGAACCTTTGTAGCAAACCCACTTACGAAGAAATACACAGAGCTTCCTGAATCTAGGTCCAGGTCCCTGGCAGGCCTAGAACTCCATCGATTGACTGTTGCCACAGTCTAATATATGCACTTCAACCCGGTATAGCTCTGGGGAGCCGAAGGAGCTTTCCACATTAAAGCTTTTCATATCTTCTTCTTCTGAGTCCATGCCAGATGATATTTCCTTTACTATGATGTATGAATATTCTCTCTTGTATGAATCTTCATGTGTTTTATTATACATGGTCTCTGTGAAAATACTTTTAGACATACTGAACAATGATATGGTTTCTCTCCTGTATGAATCCTCATGTGAACTGTTAGACGAGTCCTACGTGAAAAGTCTTTTAGACACACTGAACAATGATATGGTTTCTCACCTGTATGAATCCTCAAGTGAACTATTAGATCTGATTTTCGTGAAAAGTCTTTTAGACAAACTGAACACTTAAATGGTTTCTCCCCTGTATGAATTCTCATATGAGCTACTAGAGATGATTTATTTGTAAAGTCTTTTACACAAACTGAACAATTATATGGTTTCTCCCCTGTATGACTTGTCATGTGAACTGTTAGAAGTGACTTCTGTTTAAAGTCTTTTAGACACACTGAACAATGATACGGTTTTTCACCTGTATGAATCCTCAAGTGAACTATTAGATCTGATTTTTGTGAAAAGTCTTTTAGACACTCTGAACACTGATATGGTTTCTCTCCTGTATGACTCCTCATGTGATAGACTAGATGTGACTTCCATGAAAAGTCTTTTAGACACACTGAACAATGATATGGTTTCTCTCCTGTATGACTCCTCATGTGAACTGTTAGAAGTGACTTCTGTTTAAAGTCTTTTAGACACACTGAACAATGATATGGTTTCTCTCCTGTATGAATCCTCATGTGAACTGTTAAAACAGATCTACGTGAAAAGTATTTTAGACACACTGAACATTGATATGGTTTCTCTCCTGTATGACTCCTCATGTGAACTGTTAGTTGAGATTTATATGAAAAGTATTTTAGACAAAATGAACACTTAAATGGTGTCTCCCCTGTATGACTCATCATGTGATAGATTAGCTGTGATTTATATGAAAAGTCTTTTAGACACTCTGAACAATGATATGGTTTCTCACCTGTATGAATCCTCATGTGTTTTATTTGATCTGATTTACGTGAAAAGTGTTTTAGACACACCGAGCAGTGATATGGCTTCTCTTAGGAATAAGTGCTCATATTTAACTTTTGATATTTCTGAAAGTAGTTTTAGACAATGAATCTTTAATACTGATTTTGTTATTTATAAATACTTGTACTGTATGCTGTTATATGAGGTATTTTTGATAGTATTTCTGAACACTCAATACTGATGTTTTTCATCTGAAGATACTTTTGTACAATTTACTTGAATGCTAAGATCTGAAAAGTTCTTTGATGCAAATACTTATTATTATTTATCTCCTGAATAAATACTTGTTTGCTTTATAAGTATTATTGGAAAGTTTAAACAACATATTTGTGATGTGTACAGTAATGATGATGTGATTTTTTATCTGCATGAATTTCATAGATTAGTAAAGCAAATGTTGTTAAAGATGCTAAACATTTGGATAGTGGGACACAAAACTTGTGCTACAACCCTGACAGGCAACACAGAGCAAACAAATTATAAAGTGTCACCTATGCTGTCAATAGATGGTAATGAAGATTAAATAAGCTTCTGGAAATATCCCATTCTCTTTGGCAGGAATTTAAAGCAAACAAATTCTTTGTCAAAACATAAAAGAGAATGGAAAATTAGACAATACAAAAGCCACTGGTGTTACTGATGCATAAATACTGAGAAAATATTGTGCGTATTATATAATAAAATATTCTAACCCAAAAATGTTCTGTACAATATTTCCTGTGAATTAGCGAGTGAAAAAGCTTACATAAAAATGCACTCTTCCACATGAGGCTAACAGCATAAAATTAGTGTATGCATAGCTCTGTAAACATTCCAAACAAATCCTGTGGCAAGTTAATTTTCTTTTAACTTTTCATGATCTTACCATGTGTCTTTTGCATCGCTTCTGAAGAAATGCACACATTTTATTGCAATGAAGTATGTCTTATTATAAATACAGCCACAGCACAAGGGTTATATTCAATGAACCCTTAAGTGTAAATGTGTATGTGATTTTTACAAGAATATATGTATCGAAAGTACAATGTACATTGTTATTTATTAATCCACTATTCCTACACGTAAGAAAACACATTCTGATCATTAAAAACACTGATATCTTATTTGGATAGCCCTCACAAATGAGTAAGTAAAGTTGATGCAAAAATTAATAGACTAATAGCTTTAACATGCACATCATAGAAATCTTTGTAAGAATGCTAAGAAGATCACAAAATACATGGAATCACAGCATCTGCATAACTGTAGGCCACACGGGTTCAGAACAGGGTGTTCCTGCCTCTCACAATTACTAGACCACTATGACATGGCATTAGATGCCATGGAAGAAACAAACGCTTATGTAATGTACACAGATTTCAACAAAGCTTTTGGAAATGTGACCATTGTGTTAATACACACAAAATGTGCACCAAAGGAATTACAGGCAAAGTAAGAGACGAATCTTTAACTTCCTAACAACCAGAACCCAGAGTGTAATAGTCAACAAAGGAAAACCTGAATCATCCATCACAAAAAGCTCAGTCCCTCGGTATACTGTGATTGCTCCAATATTTTTCCTTATCCTTATATCAGATATAGACAAGGATACAATCTATGGTACTTTATCATCCTTTGCAGATGACACTAGAATTTTTATTCGAGTTGACAATATAGATATACAGCAAACCTCCAATCCAATGTTAATAAAATCTTCCAATGGGCCACAGAAAATAATGTGATGTTTAATGAGGATAAGTTCCAATTAGTGTACTATGGAAAAAATTTAAAACATCAAAGAGGCCACATACAAAACGCAGCCAAACCAGACTATTGAAAGAAAAGACATTACTAAAGACTACCATTACTAAAGATCAGACCAGTAACCTGGGAACAGTGATCCACTTAATATTAAGCAGGTACTCAACAGGTAAGCAGTTCTAAGAAATTTAAGAGTAAATTACGTGTCCAAGATAAGAATCAATATTTACTATACACTACGTACTGGGTACTGTGAAAAGATTTTTTGTTTAAGAATGCCCTGCCAACACTTAAAATAGATCATACAGTAGAAAAGTGTGTTTAGTTTTAAAATGGAAAATATTTATATTAAATTTTAGTACAGAAACACACAAAAAAAAAAATTAATCTTGTTAAAATATTTAATTTACATAACCTTAATAGTTTTCTCGGAAAATAAAACTATTAAATATTAAAAACATCAATTACACTAAGACACAATATATAATTAATATATAATGAGATTATAAAATCAATGATACCGTAGACCACATTTACCTTTACAAATACATTTGTATATAAAAATATATTTCCATTGTCACCATTGGATGTACAGTGTACATTATGTACCATACACCGCATGTACAGTGATTCAGACGAAAGCGATATGTAATATTTTATTTCCCATAAGATGAAAGTGTGCTTGCTGCAGAGTGACAAGGCAACACATTATTTGAAGGGGCCAAGTAAACATTCATTCACAGGATGTTGAGAAAATGTATGTAATAATCAGGATGTTGAAAAGGGCTCGATCAAAGTCTTACCCTTGTATATGTAGTACTTCTGACACCATGTATACAGTATTTCTGGCACATGAGCTTTAATGCCACTGGGTCTTGGCACAGCAAGTGTAAGTTTCCTTCTGACCTAAGGACCTGCAAAAGAAAAGATTGAGATTATCAGATTTTTATTTAAACCTTGCAGTGTGCAAATTAATTATATTACAGAGCACCACTTGGTTTCCAAACTTTAGTTATCCAAAACTTCCAGTTTCCCGATTGGGGTTGGGGAGTCGTGCTACACGAACAAAGTTCGGGTAGGAAGTGGCCCGCCAAACGTTGCGCCGGCCCATGGTGGTAGGTGGCAGATGGTCCAGTTTGCCCACTGACAGTGTCAGGCACCACCACTCTAGAATACCTTCTACCCTGTGACTTCACAGATTCATGGCCTATTATTCCTATTATTTTGAATTGTCACAAGGCTTGGAGTGTTCATTCTGTGATTTTATTTTACATATTTGCACAATCAAGAAACATCTGTGCACCATGTCGGCTCCAAATGCACGCATTGCATCAGTGATGGCTGACTGGTGGGTGGATGGATGGGGGAGCTTAGGTGGGAGGCAGTATGCGAGAGAGGGGGGAGAATTGGTGAGAGAGGGGGGAGAATTGGTGAGAGAGGGGGGGGGAGAATTAGTGAGACAGGGAGGAAAGGGGAGGTGAGGGAGAAATACTAGGAGGTAGGCAGGAAAGGAGGGGGAGGTAGGGAGAGATACTAGGAGGTAGGCAGGAAGGGAGGGTAGTAATGAGGAAGGATGAGAGAATTAGGGAGAGAGGGAAAGGCAGGCTGCACGGCTAGCAGGCTGGCAGGCTGGATGGCAAGCAGGCAGGCTGGATAGCAGGCAGGCAGGCAGGCAGGCAGGCAGGCAGGCAGGCAGGCAGGTGTTGAGGCGAAACGTGACCTTTGAGGTGGGATGTAGAGGGGCGGGAGGGTGGGGGAGGTGGGTACTCACCTAATTGTACTTGCCTAATTGTGCTTGTGGGGGTTGAGCTTTGTCTCTTTGGTCCCGCTTCTTAACGGTCAATCAACTAGTGTACAGATTCCTGAGCCTACTGGGCTCTATCATATCTACATTTGAAACTGTGTATGAGTCAGCCTTCACCACATCACTGCCTAGTGCATTCCATTTAACTACTCTGACACTGAAGAAATTCTTTCTAACTTCCCTGTGGCTCATCTGGGTACTAAGTTTCCACCTTAGGGGAGTCGGTGGTGGTGGGGGAGGGACCAGCTCACTTCCGATAAGCCTAAACCACACTCCACCCGTTACAGTAGTCAGATTTGTTTGTTAAATTCAGTACATCATCATATATATTTTTTGGCAGGTTAGCAGAGTGGGAGGCAGAAAGACAGGCTGACTGGCAGGGAGGGAGGGAGGGAGGCAGACTGACTGGCAGAAAGACAGGCTGACTGGCAGGGAGGGAGGGAGGGAGGCAGGCAGACTGGCAGGCAGGCAGACTGGCAGGCAGGCAGACTGGCAGGCAGGCAGACTGGCAGGCAGACAAGCAAGCTGGCAAGCAGGCAAGCAGACTGGGAAGCAGGCAAGCAGACTGGCAAGCACGCAGGCAGACAGGCAGGCAGACTGGCAAGCAGGCAGGCAGGCAGACTGAATGGCAGGCAGGGGCAGACAGACGGGCAGACTGGCAGGCAGGCAGACTGGATGGCAGGCAGGGAGGAATGGGTATTGAAGTGAACCGTGACCTCTGAGATGGGATGTAGGGGGGGTGGGAGGTGGGGAAGGCGTGTCAGTGGTGGGGTGGGATCGGTGGACTCCGATAAGCCTAAACCACACTTCACGCAGTGTGTTGAGCTAGATTTGTTTGTTAAATTCTGGTTGTACATCATCATATATATTTTTGGTTACAGGTTTTGTTTAGTAATATTATTAGGATAATAAAAAGTTATAAAAATACTTATTTCATGAATGCTTTATTGTATTAATCTACTAAGCTAGCCACTTTGGGGGGAGGGAGGGCAGCAGCAGTGAGGGTGTGCTCACATAGTTGTACTCATCTAATTGTGCTTGCGGGGTTGAGCTCTGGATCTTTGGTCCCACCTCTCCTGAGGGAGAAGTGGATCAGGACTTCCCTAATTGGTGAGTGCAAACAAAATACAGTGGCACCTCGACTTACGATTGCCCCTACTTATGATAATTTCGAGTTACGATGTAAATTTCATCGAAAAATGCGACTCGACATCCAATGGTATCGTCGACTAACGATATTTGTTGGTACACGTTCGAGTCAACCAAGCACGTGGTTCCCGGTCACGCGGTCCGACCTGCCTCAGTTTACTACAGCTGCCCGCTTAGTGACGATCACGCCTATATGAAATTCCGTATTTGTGGTGATTTTTTGGATTTTGAACATTAAAGTAATTATTATATATGATGCCATGAGTCCCAGGAAAGTCAGTGGTAAGGCTCAACATATGAAAACCCATGTAAGGATGACCATAGACCAGAAACAAGAGTACAGAATGTCTCTTCCTCAACAATTCACACTTTTGCTCACCGGGTGCGGGACCTCCCCACTACCTCAGGTGGGCTTAGGCGTTCCGCAGGAGCATGAGGGAGAGCGCGGTAAATTCTGAAAAGTGTATAATCTTTTCAACTTTGTCAGCTGAATTCTCGTCCTAAGATATTCAATTTGGTATCAATGTGTTCGCAATAGAATTCTCTACAGGACTAAATGCATATAAACTCCAAACGCCCGGCTTACCATCCGTAACTAACAGAGAAAGTGAGAGAAAGTTACCCGGGAGCGCACAAGAGTGATAAAATGTTTTCACTCTTTTCAGTTTTGTCAACTCAATTTTGGTCCTAGGTCTTTCATTTAGGTATCAATGTATTCGCAATGAAATTCCCTACAGGTGTATATGCATATAATATCCAAAACTGCGGCAAAATCTTCCCGAAAACGCCGCTACTGTTGCCGCACAAAGGACTCGATACCGAGTCCTCGCCGGACTTGCCCCCGTTTTACGGAGAACTCAATGCTGAGTCGTCGCCGGATGAAAGTGTTAAGAAAATGTGTGCAGCATGGGAAGAATTGCAAACCTTTGCTGAAACAACTCACCCACATCAAGCTGCAGTAAGTCGTTGCCTTAACCTATTCATTGACACTGTGATGCATCATTACAGACAAATGTTAAAACGAAGGGAAAAACAAATGTCTCTTGACAAATTTGTAGTGAGACAAACAAGCACTGAACCACAACCAGGTCCTAGTGGTATTCAGGCAAAACGTAGGAGAGAGAGTACCCCAGAGAAAACATCACTGCCTGATGTGATAATGGAAGGGGGACTCCCCTACCAAATAGTAACAACTCTCCTCCTCCCCCCTCATCACCAACTTCCAACTTGATGGCTCTTGATGGGCCATCAAGAGCCCATCATAAAGGTAAGATAAACTTAGGTAGTGTATTGTAGTTAGAAAAAAACATTGTATTCAGTATAAAATGTATTTGTATGTTAATATTTGAGGGTGGAGAACGGATTAATTCAATTCCTTTTATTTCTTATGGGAAAAATCGCTTCGACTAACGATATTTCAACTTACGATCCGTCTTTGGGAACGGATTAGCATCGTAAGTCGAGACCCCATTGTACTGTCAAATTTATGCTATAAACCTGTCGATTTTTTCCCTTAGATTCTTTATTATTTTATTTTTATTTTTTTATTTTTTTTTTCTCCATTTTTCTCCATTTCTCATTGATGAACTTACACGATAACCGACGGGTCTCATCCCCAAGGGGTTCGGAAACCAAGTGGTGCTTGGTTTCCGAACCAAGCACCATATATATATATATATATATATATATATGTATATATATGTATACAACTTTAGAACACTTTCCCACCAGGAGACTCGAACCCTAGCCAGCACAGCAGCCTTCCAGCAACTGGCATAACAGGTACGCCTTAACCCACTCCACCACCTGCTCAGACCCCCAAAGAGATGGTAATTTCGGAGTATTTATACACTCCAAAGACCACCACCTCCCAAGAGCACTAGAGCAAGTGAGGGGTCATTTTTACGTTTTTTCATCAAGTCCCTGTTAATATGGGAGAACACTGTGTCTATGCTTAAGGCACAACTCTCCTAAACACGAGAGTGAAGTATACAACTTTAGAACACTTTCCCACCAGGAGACTCGAACCCTAGCCAGCACAGCAGCCTTCCAGCAACTGGCATAACAGGTACGCCTTAACCCACTCCACCACCTGCTCAGACCCCCAAAGAGATGGTAATTTCGGAGTATTTATACACTCCAAAGACCACCACCTCCCAAGAGCACTAGAGCAAGTGAGGGGTCATTTTTACGTTTTTTCATCAAGTCCCTGTTAATATGGGAGAACACTGTGTCTATGCTTAAGGCACAACTCTCCTAAACACGAGAGTGAAGTATACAACTTTAGAACACTTTCCCACCAGGAGACTCGAACCCTAGCCAGCACAGCAGCCTTCCAGCAACTGGCATAACAGGTACGCCTTAACCCACTCCACCACCTGCTCAGACCCCCAAAGAGATGGTAATTTCGGAGTATTTATACACTCCAAAGACCACCACCTCCCAAGAGCACTAGAGCAAGTGAGGGGTCATTTTTACGTTTTTTCATCAAGTCCCTGTTAATATGGGAGAACACTGTGTCTATGCTTAAGGCACAACTCTCCTAAACACGAGAGTGAAGTATACAACTTTAGAACACTTTCCCACCAGGAGACTCGAACCCTAGCCAGCACAGCAGCCTTCCAGCAACTGGCATAACAGGTACGCCTTAACCCACTCCACCACCTGCTCAGACCCCCAAAGAGATGGTAATTTCGGAGTATTTATACACTCCAAAGACCACCACCTCCCAAGAGCACTAGAGCAAGTGAGGGGTCATTTTTACGTTTTTTCATCAAGTCCCTGTTAATATGGGAGAACACTGTGTCTATGCTTAAGGCACAACTCTCCTAAACACGAGAGTGAAGTATACAACTTTAGAACACTTTCCCACCAGGAGACTCGAACCCTAGCCAGCACAGCAGCCTTCCAGCAACTGGCATAACAGGTACGCCTTAACCCACTCCACCACCTGCTCAGACC